TGTCTCATCAGTGTGTGTCCGACATATCTCCATTTTCCCGGGGATATTTGCTAGGCAATAGGTTCTTGGTTGACTCGTTGGCTGCCAGTACTCCTTGTTGCCTGTCCTCCCTAACGGGTCATCTACTCTTCAGTATGGAGCTAACGGAGGTAGCTGTGGATAAAAATCTGCAGTAGCCTGTTCGAAGTGCGTTTGAAGACACGTCATGTCTTTGAAACAGATGGAAGATGTTTCTGATTTGACATTGGTGTTGAAAATCAGAATCTTGTTATTTGTGTACAGAGCTCTTGATTTCCATAGTGAAATTAGAGTGATGAATGTCTTTCTTGCCTTTTTGTTCTTGTCTGGCTTTGACTTTTTAATATAAGCCGCTTGTAGTTGAAACGATAAAGCCTAGGTGGGTGAAGGAAGTGGCTTCCTTCAGGTGTCTTTTGTTGATAGTGTTTGCATCTTATTCCAGGAAATTCTTAATATCCATAATCTAAGGTTTTGTAATATTCATGAATGTTATCGTTCGCTGGCAGGCTGCGTCACCTCCATCTTTTCTATGTTGTAGTGAGGTCCTGCCTGCCTCTTATGCAAATTTCTTGCTTTTCATCTGTAGATCTTCAATTTTTTTGTAGCATCAGGCTTAAATCACCCTCAAAGTTCAAATCTTCTAGAGTCTTCTCCTTGGTCCAACGTAATCTTGTCATTTCGCTTCTAACAGTTAGCTGCATGACCCAGTCTACTACAATCAGGAATGTCTTCGATAATAATTCACAGTGTTGTCTAATTCCATTCTGTCTTCATTTCAAAAGCTGTACTGAGTTTTCTATTGTGAATCACTTGATAAATAGCATCAGTATCAACTAATACCTGTTGCACAAGAGGTGACTGTCGTGGCACAGTGGATAACGCCGTGGCCTTTGAATCAAGTGATGCAGGCTTCGAGGATCCTTGGCAGAACCATCACTCAACGAGGATCCATAAACATCTGCCTGACGAGTCTCAAGTAGGATGAGAGGTGCATCCTGAATTCCACTTCTAATCACCACCAAAGAAAATAAGATGATTTTCACTTTATGAACACTGGTTTTTATTTCATTGTCCATATGTATTACTGCAAATAGTTGTTCAATATATAATTCTTTTCTTAAATGATAGTATAGCAAGAAAGATAAAATTTTGCAGTATAAAACGATACCACTTTAGATTGATTGTCCTCATTAAGTGTAGACAGCGTGAACTTCCAGCAGTAACAAAAGAATAAAAAGTGTACTTTAAATGTCGAAACAATAGCAAAAGAACTACTGTAGGCTAAAGAATCCAAAATCTAGAGTAGTGGAACAGTAGATGCAAAGATTTTTAGACCAGATTGTTATTCGTTTTTATACCATATAAGATTTAAGGTGCAACAGCTGAAACGAGAGAATAAGGTGGGTAGAATGATGCAAGACAATTATTATTATTATTCCTATGGATTCCTAAGGGAACATAGGATTTCCGCAGCTCATCTCCACTTTGTCCAGTTCTCTACACCCCTTTTCATCTGGCCTGATGATTGCCCATATAGTTTCATCTCCTCCTCTCACAACCTCCTCCATGTTACCCTCTGAAGCCCAACTCGTCGTTTCCCATTGGCGTCCCACTTAAGCGAATGTCTGGCGCGCTGTATCATTCGATGGTCTGCACATTGTATGCCCGATCCATCTCCATTTTCTTCTACATTTTTTTTTACCAATAGGTTATTGATTGGTTTGTCGCCTAACAGAGTTCCATGATGCAAATTCATTCTGGCCCGTTATCTAATGTTCCGTATGGAGATAGCGAAGGTGGATGTTGATGAAAGTCTTCAGCCTATTAGACATGCATTTTGAGACACGCCAGGTTTCTGACTCAGATAGTAGAACCAACTTAGCATTGATGTTGAAAGCTGCGAATCAACAACTAAAACTAATTGATAAAATAACCTCACAAGAGAGAGAGAGAGAGAATTAAAGCTCACCCGACTGAAGTTACCTTAAATGTACCGTTCCCAATGTCTGTGGGATCACAATTTCATGTAAACACAACTCGCGCGTGTGAGTGACATTAGCAAGGTAATTATCCATACAGGGTTGGTTCCATAACTATTAAATATATACTATACTGATAAAAATTTGGATAAGCAAATATACCTCCGCATTACAGGAATCCATCATCAGCTAACATTGGTTAGAGAACCATTGGAAAACTTGGGAGTACTGGACAGCTGTTTCGTCTTAGTGTGGGACTCTTCATCAGTACACACCCACCGGGGTTCGAAACCGGGACCTTCTGGTTACAAGGGGGTTCGTAGACCAATAAGCCACTGGGCCCATAAATTCTAACTTTTGCCAATTCACGACATAGCGTGACCACTAGCCAATGTCTTCGGTGAGTATTTGTCCTCATACCCGATCTGCTGCACCCTACTGGTCATGACTTCTCACTAGAACCCTTGGCAACTACCTACCCGAATAGGGCCAGTCGCCAGTGAGCATCTCATTGATATTCAAGTGTTGGTTTGTAGGGATTTGGTTGATTGGTTACAGGACAAATACTCGCCGAAGACATTGGCTAGTGGTCGCGTTATGTCGTGAATTGGCAGAAGTTAGAATTCATGGGCTATTGGATCGGGTCCCAGTGACTTATTGGTCTGCGAGCTCACCTTGTAACCAGAAGGTCCTGATTTCGAACCCCGGTGGGTGTGTACTGTGAAGGGTCCTAAACTAGGACGAAACAGTTGTGCAGTACTCCCAGGTTTTCCAGTGGTTCTCTAAACAATGTCAGTTCATGATGAAATCCTGTAACCAATCAATCAAATCCTTACAAACCAACAAACACTTGAATACCTTCGTATTGTTGCTTTAATCCTCATATCAGTCCACTGACGTACTTCTAACAATAGACTATTACTAATTTTGATTAGTTCGTCTTTTCAATACATCGAAAACGAGCTTTTTAGGATATGGATTCCCTCTGAGACACTGTAAGAATTCCAGCTGGATTTTTCTGGTGGATTTAATTTCCTTGCTTTGTTAATACTTCCCGGTGACATCCAAACTAAGGAGAAAACACTTCTCCAATAACTTCTGGTATTCAATAATCGCTAGTGTGGTTAGATCAACATTCCTCTCGAAAACGGACGTTATCTTTTGTTCTGATAGGACTTTCCCGTTTGTAATTTGCTGAAGTCACACCCTGTATAGGTGTGAAACCTATAATTGTCGTGTTTTATAGCAGTCAAAAATCTTGAAAACTGAAATGTTATCCTTTCAGCTGACGTTGATGGTACCTAGTCAACAGTTCAGGAAGAATTGAGCCACTTCAGAGTACACTCTATATATATATATATACATATATATACATGCATACAAAAAACAAAAGTTAGTTTATAGGGAATTAATTTGTTTCAAGTTTAAGGACGGATCGATATCATTCGTCTAACGGCCTTAAACTTAATCCTTCCATATGTCAGACTGTTAATTTCAGTTTCCGATGTAAACGAAAGTTAAATGAAGCCGTTGGTTCCTATGACCCTTGCAAAATCGATGATACTGATATAGAAAGCAAGTCTGAGGTTAATTATCTTGGATCAATTCTCTCTTCTGACCTATCCTGGTCCTCCCATGTCTTAGCGATTTCTAAAAGAATATTTCGTCTAACTTTTTACATTAAGAAGTTAAGGCACTCAGGCATAACCCAACCACTCCTCTTGCAGTTTATCAACTCGTGTATTTTACCTATTCTTCTTTACTGTTCACCCTTATTCTTTCCTGGATTGCTTAAAAAGGACTATGTCATACTTCGTAGAACTCTGAAGACTGTCAGTAGGGTGAGTGGTATCCCGTTGGTCTAAAGGAATTTAGTCAGACTCTGAGCACCCACTCTACCCGCAGCCCCAACCTTGTGTCTCCTCAGGTAAAACAAGATTTTCTTTTCAGAAGAATTTGTGCACGTACGTCTAAGTATAAAAATTCCATTTTACCATATTTAGCACGTACTTTATGTGATGAAAATAGTGTAAGACATGAACTAACTAACCTTCTTAGCACCACTAAATAAACCGTTTTCTCCACTCTTATAACATCAAGCTTTATTGTTATTGTTTTCTTAGTTTTATAATCCTCTCAGTTTTTTATTTTTATTTATATTTTTCATAAGTGTGGACATAATTTAAGCTGTATTATAACTGTTAATTTTGTATTTCCCCTCACTATACTATATCAACAGAACATTAGATCCAATAATCTATAACATGCTAAAGTTTCCAAACTGAATCGACAATACCGTTTGAAACAAACTCACTGTTATTATTATTATTATTATATTTAATAATCTCAATTCATGCTTCGAATATTTTTGACTTTATGTCGTAAATGTGGACAAATTCCTCTGGTTAATTTTGTTTTAATTTTATTTATATTTTGAGTAAATCAGATGCAATATTGTAACAAATACTGAGAATTCCATTCTGTATTATAAGTACTGTTTTTGGAATAAAGTAGATTATTATTTTTATTTAAAGAACCCTTGAAGACCAGAAAGTATTGGGAAGCTGTTTTGTTCTGGTTTGGAACTTTCCAGTAGTATGCGTTCACAAACTTACCTGGAATAGAAGCCAGGACCTTCAGGCTACGAGACGATCTTGTTGTCCATCTGGCTACTGGAGTGACTGATACCTGGTGACCCATAAATCCTAACTCCTATCAATTAGTTGTTTCAGAACGACTGCCAACTATTGTCATCGGAGAATATTTGTCCTCGCAGCCAACCTGGTGAGCAAATGACTTCTTTAGAACTCCAGGCAACTTTCTTCTCGAACTAAGAACAATCTGTGACCGAATCTGAAATAAACTCAATCGCTATACACCAAAATATTAAGCATTCTGCCTAATTTCATTGTTTACTTATATGCACAGATTTTAGTAGTTATGAAAATTTTAATAGTAATTAATTAATACTGTGCAGTTTTTCCTTTCTGTTTTCAATTTCAGAATTTTATGAAGATGATTATAACAATCAGCTTAAACAACAATATCCATTTACGGCTAAGCGTTATATGACAGTTGCAGAGGAGAAGAAATTTTGGAATAAACTATTCAGTGGAATACGAACAGCTGGACCACAGAGATTTACACCACCACGAGGGCCAAGTACATTAAGATTTGGTTGAATAAATTTTCAATTAAAAACTAAAAATTCTAAAGAAGTATAAAATGCTGTAAAAGTGAATAACAGAAATTAACTCCAATCAAGAATTGTTTTAATTTTAGATAAACAGATCAATAATAATGCTAACGATAATAATAATTTTGCTGTTTTGAGTGTCTTTTTGTCTTCTTTCAAAAGCTCACTGTGATTTTATAAAAATACAATATCGTAGGTCGCTCTTCGGAGTATTAACCAGTCAGACCAGGGTCTGATAATCAAGTGTGTAATGTATTCAGCTAAATAAGTGACACGAAGTGGCTATATGCATCGCCTTCCAGTTTTGCTTTAGTGTTTCACATTGTGTGTTTCTCAACAAGGCATATCAATGATCTAGGCTTCCTTGTAGAGAGCCTTATGAAGAATTCATCATACAGTTGAAATTACGGTGGCATTCAAACCCATTCAATCACTGAGAAAAAAATTTGTTTGCTTAAAAAAGCCAATATGTTAAATTAAGAAAGATAGGAATTCAGGTGAACATAGAGACAACAGAGGTGATGAAGATTCCTGGCCAACACCACCAACAGCAACAACAACAACTGACAACAATCACGCAGCATAAATGAGAGGAGCCTGAAAGAAACAGCCTCCTTCACCAACCAACCCGGGAAGCATCGTTTCAACTACAGGCAGACGGAACTGACGAGGATATCAAAGCAAGAATCGGAAAAGCAAGACAAGCTTTCACTACTCTCATGTCTGTGTGGAGGTTAATAGCACTCAGCAGGAAAACGAAGATAAGATCCGGATTTTCAACTCCAGTGTGTGAAGTCAGTGCTACTTAACATACGGATCAGAGACTTGGCCTGACATAAACAGCTTCTCAAACAAACTACACACCTTCATTAACAGTTGTCTTCGCTCAATACAACTCAAGATCAGATGACCGGCGAGAAGAGATCACCAACAGAGATCTCTGGCAATGAGCGAACCAACTCAGCAGGAACCGATTGTGAAACAAATAGGCAGGAAGAAATGGAGATGGATTGGCTGGCCATACTCTGAGGAAACAATCCATCAAGTGACATCACTAGACAAGCCATTGCTCGAGTGGAACCCGAAAGTGGAGCGGCGATTTGGTCATCAGTGCAAGGGTGAGGGTGAGTTGGAGGAGGTCATGTGAAGAGGAGATGAAAACGTGTGGGCAGACTTGGAGCCAGGTGAAGACTCTAGCAGAGAAGCGAACGCAATGGAGACGCACGGCTGTTTATGACGGGCCAAGTCTCTGATCCATATGGTAGCACTGACTTCACACACTGGAGTTAAAAATCCGGATCTTATCTTCGTTTTCCTGCTGAGTGCTGTTAACCTCCACACAGACATGAGAGTAGTGAAAGCTTGTCTTGCTTTTCCGATTCTTGCTTTGATATCCTCGTCAGTTCCATCCGCCTGTAGTTGAAACGATGCTTCCAGGTCGGTAGGTAAAGGAGGTTGTTTCTTTCAGCTTCCTTCCATTTATGCTGATTGTTGTCTGTTGTTGTTGTTGGTGGTGGTGTTGGCCAGGAATCTTCATCACCTCTGTTTTCTCTATGTTCACTTGAAGGAAGTCCTATCTTCTCTGGATGCTTCTTCTGCCAACTTTTTGCTTTTCGCTTGCATATCTTCCAGTTTGTGGGAAATGAGACATATGTCATTGGCGAAATCCAGACCCTCTAAGTTGTTTGTGTGAGTCCATTTTATGCCTGTTTCCTCATTGCCCCCTGTTTGTCGCATTATCCAATCTACTGCAATCAGGGGAATCATTGGCGCCTTATTTCTCTAGAAATCTATAATTTCTACATCTATGAAATGTTACTGAACAACCGCTGACATTTCCAATGTAGTTGGCAATGTGCCACATCTACTGTGTGAAGTCTAGTGATGCTGTAATCGTAGTGAGTGTAGCAGAGTTCGAACATTTGGCCCACTTGTTGGCTGAGGAGATACACATAAAAGACACATAGATTATACCGGAGAGATATCTACTCTGTCTATGTTGATGAAGTCATTCAACAATGCGTACACATGAAATTCAGGTGCGTTAATGATCTCCAGAGCAAAATACACTGGTCGCTGAGTTACGATTTCACTCAGAGGAAGTATATATATATATATATATGTAGAAAGACAGAGAATTACACGAAATTACGTTTTAAATTTACTGAAATACATAGCCAACTATATAGCTCAAGTCATTTTCACTAAGGAAACAGAAACAGAAACCATTTTAGCACTGACAGGAATGTAAGAATTAAAAGACACGAGTGTTTCTTTCTTTTATTTAGTAAAAATCAATAAAATTGAATAAGTATTTTACTGCTCGCACACAAAATAATGAAACATAAGTTTAGTGTCTCTTCACATTCACTTTACAGTTAAGCGTAAACTGATTTCACCTACCCTTTGGTGGTGAATCTTTCAGTTCGACTGCTACTGTAAAGCCATTTACATTGGGCTGTTAAGTAAATTTGGAAACTTAATAATGATGAGTGCAACTCAGCAAGTGCAAATCAAAATTAAACGAAATATTACTCAACAGAAACAAACACCAAACCATACGAATGAGATAATAACAGTTACCACAGTATTGAAAGATTAATCATTCTGTCTCGATGCATACATAGGTTGCGTTGAGGTTTTTTGATAGCAATTGCTTCTGGGAAATGAAGTAACAAGGATTTTCTTTGTTAATTGATAAATTGAAAGTTGGACTATTTTCCCTGTCAGTTGAGTGCCTATGTCATAATTTTACTTTTGACTCCCACCATCTTGAAATTCTTATCATATGTTTACAGGATTTTCATCATGAGCTGATATCAGTTAGAGAACCATTGGAAAACCTACAGGGAGTACTGGACAGCTGTTTCGTCCTAGTTTGGGACTCTTCATCAGTACGCACCCACCGGGATTCGAACCCAGGACTTTCTGGTTACAAGGCGAGCTCGTATATCATTAAGCTAGCTCATGATGAAAATCCTGTAACCAATCAAATCCCTACAAACCAACACTTGAATCTTATCATATGTATTGTATGAAATCACTGTTGTCCGATCTTGTATTCTGTACTTAGTCAATCCTTGTATCTATGCAAACTCTGAACTCTGTCCACCATCCCATCTCCTTTTGTCTAATTATTACTATGAACAGTCGGCCTTTTAAAACTGAATAATTTGTGCTGTTCACGTCATTTAGGAATTACACTGCAAATACTTTCTATCCATTACTCGATGTGATTGTGATGAAAGTTGTGATGCAGTTGAAAAGAAATCTTCGACATAAAATGAGCTTGTGTATGATCCCGTAAACTTGTTTGTTCCTTTTTTTAGTTCAAACCACTCGAGGGAACTCAACGAACGACTGGTTGATCACTGCGAGCCAGTAGTCCTTACTGGCTAGATTGAAGTGATCAAAATACTGGACTAACTTTTCGATGGTTTGCAGCCAAGGGGGGGGGGCTGGTGTGTGTGAATGAATTCATACAGATGAATGAGTTCAATCCAACGAAACTCTGGCTAGCAGCTACCTGAACTGATGCATACCGGTAGTAATGAAAACAAGAAATTTGTCACCTGCAAATTACACACAGTTCGAGGTGAAAAATTTGCCTCAGGCAATTTAACTTGGAAAACAAACAGTTTTCAGATCACAGTGTGTAACTGACTTCAGAACATAAATATTGATCGATAAAGCTAGACAAGCAGCTTCACAAAAGAGGCTCTATGGTGTTTAGGTGACTTTGAACTAGTTGGTCAGCCCTACTGGTTAACATGGTTGGATTCAAACTACTGGTAATAATCAGAAGAATACACTGGTAGTGTATTTTGTTTGTTTTCTGGATTACCATTTATAGTACCAACCTGGTGACATGTTGTGATTTGAATTTCTTTGGGTTTTGAAAAAAGTAACTATCACGATTTCTCATCTCAAATTGTGTGTGTGATCGTCAGATGATTAATTTGATAGAACTTAATTTTGATCACGACTTCGATTTCATTTAGAGAGCCACTGAAAAACAGGTAACACTGGAAAACTCTCAATCAACAACAAAATTCGGGTTTTCAATACAAACGTCAAGTCATTCAGTTCTTCTATACGGATCAGAAACTTGGCGGTGGGTCACAAAGAATATTTCCAACAGCCTGTTGCAGACATCTATCAACAGCTGTCTTCACTATATACTGAAGACGGGATGGCCGGAAAGAATCACCAACAAGAAACTACGGGAAGAAACAAAACAAGAACCAATCACCCAAGAAATATGGAGGAGAAAGTGGAGATGGATTGGACACTCGCTGAGGAGGCCGTTGGGTGACATCGCACGTCAGGTCAGTGCTCGAGTGGAACCCGAAAGGGAAGCGGCGAGTGGTTCGTCGGTGCAAGGGTGACATGGAGGAGATCGTGTGAAGAGGAGTTGAAACAGTATGGACTAACATGGATGCAGGTGAAAAGTACAGCAGAAGAGAGAAGCAAGTGGAGACATGTAGTTGAAGCTCTATGTTCCACTAGGAACCCAAGGGAACAATAATAATAATAATATAATCAACAGTACGTGTGCCATGAGCTTACCACAGATCGAACTCAGGAATTTCAGGTTACGAGACAAACTCGTGTACTATTCAACCACTGTGATGGAATCCAGTGAACCATCCATCCATTCTCACTTCTAACAATTCATGATATAGCTCGATCGATTTATAACTCAGTTCTTAAAAATGTCATATTATCTTCAAGATACAACATAGTAGTCTCTTGCACTGATGAAATTCCTAACTAGTAGATTTGCAAGAGTACGGCGCTAATCACTAAATCCCCAAAGACAAACCACCACAACGCGATACCAGTGACACTCTATGTAAATAACAAAAGGAAGAGGATAGACTATTAAGTGGAGTGCTTTTATTATCTCGGGTTGACAGTGGAAAACGAATAGCTTTATTGAATATCCCGCCAACTGTAGCGCCGTAGTCTATCGCTGCAGTGGTT